AGGACGGACTATTCTTCAAATCAATCATGTGAATAGATTTTTCAACGAATGTTAAAGTGAGATTTAACGCTAAACATTCTGAAGAGCAGCTACTTCATATTTCATCCTTTTGTTTTGTTTTGTTTTTGTTTTGTCGTTTTTATGCTCTTACTTTGCTAAAAATCTTACAATAAAGCGTGTGAAAGCATAAAATCTCTTTAATCAATTGTCTCTAGTCTTTTTGTTCATAATCCCTATAACTCGAAACCCTGAAAACTTAAAGTAAATTCAATTCTGCATGGCAATTCGAGTTACCGGGGTTGAACTGTAATTGTTTCCCTACTCAAAACTGGCTAGGTCAAATGACCATCAAAAACCGCATGTCAAGCCGAGCTTTAATAATTATTCAATTTAAAGGAAATAATTTATAAATCGCAATCAGAACAAACGCAAATCAAGTCTTCATCTTGTAACTAAATTAAGAAAACTTCAACGTAAACTTACTTGTGTAGTGGGTCGTTACACTTAACAGATTAGCAGATTTTTTTAACAGATTCTCCAGGTAGGCGGATTTTCAGACGACTATAGAATAACTTCTTTCTCTCTTTGATTCTTCTGAAAAATTGGTTTGAAACAAAATAACCTTACGTTTTTAAATCAATTTACAAAATAAATGTCTGTCAATTCTTGTCATTTAATATATCTATTAATAAGAGGTGATGCCCATAATATTTGATAAACGAAACAGTGATAAATTTGTCTTATTGGGAGTTTAAATAACCCTCGTGGGGCCTGACACAATGGCCATGAAGGTTGCAATTAATGTTGCATGTAAGATGTATCTATTTAACTGTTCAAACTGCATTATTCCAAAGATTACGTTCACTCAGTTGATCAGACATCTCTTAAAAAATCATTGTGCCCTTATTTTTATCGGGAAGTATTTGTTAGACCAAGATATTCAGCTTTCGGTAGTAAAACCATCGAACGAGCTACAGTGAACTTTGAACTCACCACACACGGTCTGGTATGGTTACATTAAAGAAATAGAACAACTGAATGACAGTCAATCGTTCTTTTAATCAACTGAAACATATAAATATAGAATATCACTGGTGGCTCAGTAAAGTTCTTCTGCCAAGAAAATTTTACAAGAAAACTCATTATTTGACGAGGGAATTCTGCCTTAAATTGCACACATGTCGGTTTTCAAGTGCAATTTAACACGGAATTCACGAGTCAAGTAATGGATTTTCCTTGAATCGCAGAATTGAATAAAAACAACTTAAAATAGAGAACGGCATCACTTATAGTTGTTATGTATCCGTAGCTGAGAAACAGTATCACTCAGCCTTGTTTTCAATCACAATTCTACGCTAAATACCTCGCTTTGTTAACCAATTAGAATGTGAGATTTTATTTAATGATGCGATTCTATGTGAGACCAGTAATGCTCATAGCTGGAGCTGTGTGGAACTGATTGATTATTCATTTATTTGGCCTGACAGCATTGTTTTGTTTGCATTTGTGCTTTAATAAAAAAAAATGGGAGAATAATGAGGAAAAGGTAAAACTTGAAAAGGTGCAGTCAAAGAACAAATTCAGTCTTCAACCTAACTCAGATCAGAGAAGATGTTCCTTTCTCTTAGCTTGTATTTAATCATACATTTGCTTTAGCTTGGTGAATGAGGCAGTGCTTTCAACAAAAGGAATGAAGTGAAAACTGTAAACACGCACAGTGGTTGTACAAAAGAGAAATCCCTGTTTGATTGTGTGGAAATGACTGTCCAGTTCTTTAGTAACACCCTGCTAAACTATGAAAGAAATAGTTGAAATTGATAAGGTACCATGCACCAGGTGCCTTGTTTTCTTGACTTAGTTTTAGTTTATTGGATTCGCCGACAGGCAGGGACACCGCAACAGCTTGTGCCAATTTACTGCGGGCCCAGTAAACCCACCCATCCCACCCCYRGGGGTGGGATGGGTGGGTTTACTGGGCCCGCAGTAAATTGGCACAAGCTGTCGTGGTGTCCCTGCCTGTCGGCGAATCCACTAAACTAAAACTAAGTCAAGAAAACAAGGCACCTGGTGCATGGTACCTTATCAATTTCAACTATTTCTTTCATAGTTTAGCAGGGTGTTACTAAAGAACTGGACAGTCATTTCCACACAATCAAACAGGGATTTCTCTTTTGTACAACCACTGTGCGTGTTTACAGTTTTCACTTCATTCCTTTTGTTGAAAGCACTGCCTCATTCACCAAGCTAAAGCAAATGTATGATTAAATACAAGCTAAGAGAAAGGAACATCTTCTCTGATCTGAGTTAGGTTGAAGACTGAATTTGTTCTTTGACTGCACCTTTTCAAGTTTTACCTTTTCCTCATTATTCTCCCATTTTTTTTTATTAAAGCACAAATGCAAACAAAACAATGCTGTCAGGCCAAATAAATGAATAATCAATCAGTTCCACACAGCTCCAGCTATGAGCATTACTGGTCTCACATAGAATCGCATCAGTAAATAAAATCTCACATTCTAATTGGTTAACAAAGCAAGGTATTTAGCGTAGAATTGTGATTGAAAACAAGGCTGAGTGATACTGTTTCTCAGCTACGGATACATAACAACTATAAGTGATGCCGTTCTCTATTTTAAGTTGTTTTTATTCAATTCTGCGTTTCAAGGAAAATCCATTACTTGACTCGTGAATTCCGTGTTAAATTGCACTTGAAAACCGAAATGTGTGCAATTTAAGGCAGAATTCCCTCGTCAAATAATGAATTTTCTTGTAAAATTTTCTTGGCAGAAGAACTTTACTGAGCCACCAGTGATATTCTATATTTATATGTTTCAGTTGATTAAAAGAACGATTGACTGTCATTCAGTTGTTCTATTTCTTTAATGTAACCATACCAGACCGTGTGTGGTGAGTTCAAAGTTCACTGTAGCTCGTTCGATGGTTTTACTACCGAAAGCTGAATATCTTGGTCTAACAAATACTTCCCGATAAAAATAAGGGCACAATGATTTTTTAAGAGATGTCTGATCAACTGAGTGAACGTAATCTTTGGAATAATGCAGTTTGAACAGTTAAATAGATACATCTTACATGCAACATTAATTGCAACCTTCATGGCCATTGTGTCAGGCCCCACGAGGGTTATTTAAACTCCCAATAAGACAAATTTATCACTGTTTCGTTTATCAAATATTATGGGCATCACCTCTTATTAATAGATATATTAAATGACAAGAATTGACAGACATTTATTTTGTAAATTGATTTAAAAACGTAAGGTTATTTTGTTTCAAACCAATTTTTCAGAAGAATCAAAGAGAGAAAGAAGTTATTTTATAGTCGTCTGAAAATCCGCCTACCTGGAGAATCTGTTAAAAAAGTCTGCTAATCTGTTAAGTGTAACGACCCACTACACAAGTAAGTTTACGTTGAAGTTTTCTTAATTTAGTTACAAGATGAAGACTTGATTTGCCTTTGTTCTGATTGCGATTTATAAATTATTTCCTTTAAATTGAATAATTATTAAAGCTCGGCTTGACATGCGGTTTTTGTTGGTCATTTGACCTAGCCAGTTTTGAGTAGGGAAACAATTACAGTTCAACCCCGGTAACTCGAATTGCCATGCAGAATTGAATTTACTTTAAGTTTTCAGGGTTTCGAGTTATAGGGATTATGAACAAAAAGACTAGAGACAATTGATTAAAGAGATTTTATGCTTTCACACGCTTTATTGTAAGATTTTTAGCAAAGTAAGAGCATAAAAACGACAAAACAAAAACAAAACAAAACAAAAGGATGAAATATGAAGTAGCTGCTCTTCAGAATGTTTAGCGTTAAATCTCACTTTAACATTCGTTGAAAAATCTATTCACATGATTGATTTGAAGAATAGTCCGTCCTATCACTGGTGTTTAGCAGCCATTCTGTTTCTGTCAGTGGTGTTGCACAACTTCTCAATGCCGGACTCAAAGTCAACAAACTGATTGTTAAAAAACAAGCTGTGTTTCAAGCACATCAATTGCCGCCGACACTTCATGTTTGGAAAGTCTTTTGGGTGGGGGCGGTTCTTCGATAGTCAAGTCATCATCGTCTCCTGCCCCAGTATCACCCAGAGAACAAAATTCTGTGACGATGTTTTGGTCTGACAGCCCCTCAGAGTCGAGAGTGAGGACGTCATAATGTCACATTCGAGTATGCTTGCTGCACCAACCTTAGGAGAGATGACATCTGGAGCTCTCTTTAAGGGCGTCAAGCTCTTCATTCAGATCTCTGAATGGGTCGTCACTGTTTCTTGCAGCAGATCCCTGCCACTGTTGTGAAATACTCGCGCATCTAAAAGAATTCTCTATAGTCGTTTCAGACACTTTACTCCAGGCGGTTGAGGGCGTATTCACAGCTGCCAAGATACTACTGTTTGGCATCAACTTGTTTTTACCTGCAATGCGGATGTACCAAGAAGCTGTCGTTTCAGGTGTGCATGACTTTCCTTCACCAGCAACAGTTTTAAATGTTACACTGTGGCGAACTTTCCAGCCATCAAGCCTTTAAAATCTTCAATTTGCAACTCATTCACAAAACTTTTAGCCTTTCCTTTAAGCACCTCACCACTTCACTGAATTAATTGACTTGTCGAGGGCTTCGGAGCCTGCTTTCTTCAGTTTTAGTGTCAGGATTTTTTTCCCTTCTTAAAAGCAACAGAAATCTTGTCTTTGCTTTTTTTTTTGTTACCCCTAAGTAACCGAAAATAATAGACAGGAAGGGCTTTTAAAATTTCCACTTGCTATTTTACATGTGTCAAATTCACCACTACAGTAAACAAACTTTATTTTAAAAAGACAATGGACAATAGGCGGTCTTTTATTAATTTTCAAATAAAAGTCCTACCTGAGAAGTTTCATCTGTATGCTAACAAAACCATTAGGAACAAAATGGCTCCTTCAAAAACATCCGAGGACTGTGGCAGTTACAAACTGGATTCTTTCATCAAAGGATATCACATATATCAAGATATAATTATAGTCTCCAGAACTTTTTGAGGAGTTGACGGCAGTACGAGAACCACAAAACATTGTTGACAAGTATGCTGTGAGTGTTACAAAAGCTGGTAAGGTGGTTGGACGTTTGATGAAAGGAAAGACTAGGTGATTTGCAAAGATAATTTTTTACTTTTTGCGGGCTGACAAGCAAACCTCTTGCCCTGCAATACTTATTGGAAAGGCTTTGAACCAGGGCGACAGGGAAGGGATGCAAGCGCCATGCACATTGAATTTGGAGGGGAGGAAGAAACATATTATTGTTCTCAAAATAAACGGGGAAAGATTGACAAGTAATGACAAACAACAGATTACCTGAAGAAACTAAAAAGTTTTATAGCCCTAGAAGATAAGCTTATTTTCTGTTGTAGACACTTCTATCCCTACAAAACTGTAATTTCTAAAAACACATGGAATATTTTAAAGCTACAGAAGCCAACAGAACATTCCTGCCCTGTAGGATTCAGAACTACATGGTCAAACCTGTATTAGTAGCACTGTATTACCTGTATTAGTAGCACTGTATTACCGTGTGTGAAGGGGTCGATTTTCAAAGTTCTGAAATTTTCCCCTCTATTAAGTAGTCGTGGTCACCCATTACTGAGTCCAAAAGTAAGTTTTTACTGTATTGAACTGTCACTCAGAGAGGAACCACTCAGATAGAAATAAGAATTAAAATGAAAAACTAAGTAAAATTTCTCCATGTTTATGTCCCAAAATCAATGTTACTGGTACTTATTCTGATTAAGTTTTTGTACATAACGTGCAGTGGTCCATTACAACAAAAAATTGCATCTTTTTTCATTTTACAATACCCCTTTTCTGTGGAACCTGTTTTAAGTGGTCACCTCACCAATCCCCTAGGTGACCACTTAAAATAGGTTTGACGGCGATATTTCAACATTGCACCTAATGGAGAAGTATGCTTAAGCAACTGCGTGATCTTCGTATCTCCACCATTGAAAAGTATTAAAATTTGTCTCTTACCATTATTGCTTTAGGTTTCAAAAGAGCATGGGCCTAACTATTGAGTGACAGTCTTCAGATGATTCAAAATTTTAAAAACAACTTCATAATCTGGTGACAGACCCAAAACCACAGTGCACAGTCCACAGCTTTGCTGATATCGCAGGGAAAATACCAGTCTTAAAGTAAAGAATCTCTTTTTCTGTGTAGCTCCTAAGTGTTCAAATAGATCAGGATTTATTTGTGATTCTTGGTAAGAACTTGGAAATAGCTATTAATATTCAATTTTTTTTACCAGTACTCACAAAATTTCTCTCTATTTCAGGGTGGTCTTTTTCCAGTCCTACATCCACCACACCAATGACAACTCCTTTACCAGTATAACCCATCTTCCAAACCTCTAACAGATTGTAAGAAGGTCCATCATTTCTCTCCTAAAAATCAAAGAAACTGTCACATCAGTGGCCATGTGTATCTCACTTTATTCAAACTGCAGCTAATTAGCCTTTTTTGCTTCCTTAAGGTCTGTTACTTTGCCAAAAGTAAACACGACAAGAAAACTTTGATCCACGGCCCTTTTAATGCCTACTAACAATTAATGTACACTGTTAGATATACATGGGTAAGCTACATGTAACCTCAGCTTGCACAGAGATATTTTTTAAGGGAGCTAGGCCACTGATGAACAACTCCTCCATTGGCCATCTACACTGTATTCCCTGCAAGCTGCAACATCTAAGAACTTGAAAACCTCTGAATATAAAGATGCCAGACAGCCTGCTTTATGCATTGAATGACTTTAGTCTTACTGACTGTATGACACTTACACCTGCTAACACTAAGGGCATTCAATACCGCGAGTCTACTGATGATTAAGTGAAGCCATGGAAAGCCCAATCTCCTTAGTTAAAGCTAGCCTATACAGGGTATACATGGACAGTTTAAAGAACAGGTGAAACACGTAGTTACTGTTCCTTGCAAACTTATACCTAAAACACTATAGAACTGAACCATCTATTATACCTCAAGGAGAGAAATACCTGAAAACAGTTCTTTTTTCTGATGAATATTCCACTTCATTTTTACAAAAGATATCTGCATGAAGCTTTCTATTATTTCAAATCCTTTACCATTCCATCTAATTTCAAGATGAATCTAAGCTTCTTTGCCACTGCCTGCTGTGCACTAACACATGTACACTTGAAGCAGCCTCATGCAAGCCCCAACTGAGTCAAAGATACAGGACAGGGCATTCTTAAACTAAGAATGAAGCAAAAACTACATTGGAAAATCAAGGAGAGCAGTGCTAAAAGTTCAAAAAAGTCATTGGCATCAGAACATGCTAGTGAGACAGGACTTAACCAAGTAAATTTTTTGGATCAAGACCCGCACTGGTATGCGTGCAAGATTAGAAAGGTCATATTAGTTAGAACATCATCTAAATAGTATCAACAGAAGCAGCTTAATCCAATTTCGAGGACCCTCAAAAAGCACAACGGCCACTTGATAAAAGGAAAAGATACCTAAAGATCGAAAAGTACCACAACAGTCAGGTCAAAAAGGCACCAACACCATCTTCCTACATAAATTGTGTTGCACAATCATTCAACCTCACATATCCTCTGACAACAATTAGTAGTACAGCAGACAAAATGTGGCCACGGCCTCTATTGATGGATTGACTCTTAAACAATATTTATAAACAGATAATACATTCCTTTAATTTATCAATCTCACCACAAGCACCAAACACATACATAACAACAAAAAAATGCACTTCAGCTTCAACGAGCGCTATAAAAAAGCAGTAAGTAAACAAAAGTATGTAGATACTTTTTCTGTATAGTTAAAGATAACTTAATTTTTGTAAATAGGGAAGCTCTGCCTGTAACTACACAATCAACAAGATTTCGTAGATCATCGAGTAGCAATGCTAGCACTGATATCACTAAGGGCAATGTTCGTTTTTCATGTGGGTGCCCCAAATGAAATGTTCTGCCTGTTGAGGTAGGAACAGGTCACATAATTATTTCTAGCTTCATTTAAACCTTTATTACTTCAAAACTACAATTAGGCTCTATTTCTATATGATGTTGACAGTACAACTTGGAGAACATTCTGTCCCAGATGCAACAAAGAGAGGACTCTCCTATGCCCACCGTTGTGCAGGTGTTACGAAAACTATGATCCTCAAAAACTAAGACCTAAGACCTAGGACCCATCTTAGTTTTTGAGATTACAAAAACTAAGACCCCCTAAAATCGAATCTGTTGAAATATTAAGTCAAATTGTAACCAAACTGGTCTAATCTGTCAAATCTATCTCCTGTCTGAACCTTTCCACCAATGCAAGTTTTAGGTCAAATTTAACAGTAAATTTGGGGGTCTTAGTTTTCGTAATTTCGAAAACTTAGACTTCTCTTGGTTTTTGTAATTACGAAGACCCCCACCAAACCATTCTATAAAATTTCTACAAAGTCGAATTACTACAGTTCAAAGACTAAAATTCAGAAAACACCAAATCCTAATATCACATGCATGCTAGATGATTCACTTCTTCAAACAATTTCAAACAATGAAAGCCATACACTACCTACATATAATTGTACACTGAAAATAATTATGCCCTACCCCTATTGCTCTTAAATTTTGTTGTCTATCCTTTAAATCATAAAATTGCATGGATGTTTTTCTTCGGGATTCTCCGTGTCTCTGTGATTGTATAGCATTACCTGTGACGGAGCTGAATAACGTATGCCCACATGCTAGGTTTTGGTGCAGATAGATGACTTTATTTAAACTCAGATGAAAATGAGGCTTGTTAGGCCTGTAGCAATAGAGATGCTAATATACCAGAGGAAAATACATGAATAAAAATTACAGAGTTTAAAAATAATACAAGCCTAAATATAATGATGATACAAAATTCAAAATTACTTAGTTTTGTTATCTCATTCCTGAAAGGGCCAAATTCGGCCATTTAATCTTAGCTTACCAGGTACTGCATTCTAAGCCTTAGCAGCAATGTAAGAAGTCGATTTAAGGCCGTAAGTTGTGGTCTTAGCCACAGATAAAACAAGTTTGTTTTTGCCCCTAAGATTTTTCTTATTTTCTCTTACTTGAAATAAAGATTGGATACTGAGGCATATTGTTATAGAGGGCTTTAAAAATTATTAAAAGCATATCTTGTATCCATGCATCTACAACTTAATGAGTAACCAATCTTATAACATAGACTATCATATAACTATCATAAACTGCCTCCCGGTTAGCTCAATGGAAAGAGCGCTGGACTGTCGTGTGGGAGGTCGAGGGTTCGAGCCCCGGCCGGACCAACACTCAAGGTCTTAAAATAATTGAGAAGAATTTGCTACCTTTCTATAACATCAAGAAATGGTTAGATATTCTAGTCTTCTCGGATAGGGACGAATAAATGGAGCTCCCGTCTCCTGCAGGGTTAGGGGTAGGAGACGTTAATTTCCCACACACGAGATTACTGTGTGATGGATGTCCTCCTTTGGGGTGGAATGGGTGGGTTAGGACAGCAGGTCCACATCAGCTATTACAGCTGCCAATAAATCAACCTGCTTAAACAAATAAATGAACTTCAACAATCAACAACTTCAACATATCCATTGGAAAAGTCATTAAACACATATCTAAGGGCCCTCTCATGTATTCTCTCTAATCGGTCACTATCTTCTTTGAGACAGCTATTCCAAATGGAACTACAATAAGTAAAGTGAGGCATGATAAATGCCCTAGATATACATATCTTTGACGAAAACGAAAAAATGTGTTTGAATCGATTAAGTACATCAATTTGTTTACCTACTTTCTTAATTAACTTAGATATATATATATATATATATTAAGTACATCAATTTGTTTACCTACTTTCTTAATTAACTTAGATATATATATATATATATATACATATGACTCTTAAAATTTAACTTATTGTCAATTACAACCTCTAAGAGTTCCACATTATCGGTCGCTTTGACTTGAAAACCATCAACATCCAGTTCTACTAGATCACTTTTTCACTTGGGCAAAACTAGGAGTTTATATTTGTCCAAGTTTAGGGTCAGACCACAGTCACGAAACCATTTGGAGGTGACTCCTAAGTCTCGGATGAGGACAGCCTGAAACCTGCTTGGAGCTAATCACTTGAAGTTAGTTGGTTATCATCAGCATAATTCGAAACTCGGATTGAGTCATTCGCATGCTTGATCGTCAAGTATGATAGTAGTTTTTGGTTGTTTTACAGATTATAGTCTTTGAACGGTCATAACTTGACTTTGTAGAAATTTTACAGAAAGAGGGGTCTTAATAGCTTTTGAATTTATGAAAACTAAGACCCCTAAATTTACTGTTAAATTTGACCTAAAACATGGCGGAAAGGATCGGACAGGAGATGATTTGACAGATTAGACCTGTTTTGGTTACAATTTGACTTTTATATTTCGACAGATTCAATTTTAGGGGGTCTTAGTTTTTGCAGTATCAAAAACTAAGACTGGTCTTAGGTCTTAGGTCTTAGTTTCCGTAACACCCCCATTGTACTGCTTCCAGCAATATGAACGTTTTCTTTTGTTTCCTTTTTGATTTTTCTTGTTTTATATAATTATGAGTAGCTTTATAGTTATTAATATTCATTAACAAGGGACGAGCTGTAAGAAGCTTAGCTATATGGTCTCCCCACGGAATAACTTTTGTGTATATAAGTAATGTATTCCACAGTATTGTGCTAAGTAATGCAAACTTAAATCACTGAATTTCGTTTATTGTTCTTTCTAAGTTTCATCAAACTGTCGTACGAACCTTCTTGGAGAGCTCAAAGATTCTCACCTGCACTATGCATTATTTTGCTAAAACAAAGAACCATATTTCTTCAAGTTTTCATACCGATCAAAAGTTCATAATGAACAGCTTTGGAAAGACAAAACAATTCTATATATGCACTACATGCTTGATCAAATGGAAAAATTCATCGGTTTGAAAAGCTGAAGAAGTGTATTATTAGTAACAACATAATTTCAAGCAAAGAATGCTATTGTGCACCTAGTAGGAGTCTATTGCCCAACAGACACAAGACCTCCTAAACTTAATTCACGCTCCTCTAAAAACTAGTAAAATGCATGGCAAACTATTGCTTTTATGTCAAGCCATAAGATTAAATAAACATACTCTGAGATACTGAAGTTTTAACTCTACAATTCCCATGTGTCCATATCAGTATTGCTGTTGACTCATCCCTTTCTGTTGACCTAACTATGGTAGATTTACTGGTGGTTAATTATTGTTGCAAATACTCGACACTTCTAAGCTGAAGTCACATCTGCCTTAAGTATCAAGAGCTTGCCATTTGATTGAAAACTAACGCAACTTCCATTAAACCTACAGACAAATTTCTTGACAAAGACCTTCACACAGCTTTTTAATACTAATCCAATTACTCTTAATAACTTTAAGCAACCTACAAGCTGTATTTCTGCTAAAATCTAAAAGTCAGAACAAAGCATCGGGAATATATGGTGTAGGTATAAACATGCAATGACACATTTTACATTTCATATTATGTCACCTGCATTGCACATCGTATTAAAGGAAAGAGAACCTAATGAAAGGATCCTTGGTTTGGTTGAAGGCAAATTCCCTTTTTCATTCCTTTGAATAGTGGTGTCTCAGAATATCTCAGAGGATGGAAATTCTATTGTGTTGCCTAAAACATTTTCAGTTTAACAGTTCATACTGCCCATAAACATGGCTATCAAACACACAGTCAAATGGCTGTGTCGATTAGGTGTCCTGTGATGATTTAAATGTTAAAAGTAGAATTTTGTTTGGCCATTGGAACTCAATGTAATATTCTTTGTATGACTTTTCTCTCATAAACATAAAATTTGCTTGACTAAACAACTAAATGTCAAAATGTAACCTAAAGGCCAAATTAAGTTGCAGCATCCACTGTCTTCAAAAAGTCTTTATTCAGCCCATATGATACTGTTAAAAAAGCACTCAGAAACATTGAAGACTGGCAAATTGATTGGGTGTGATGTTAAAGCTTATGCTTTCCCTGATTTTTCTCCTGGATTTCAGTTCTCCCTGAAACAAAGTAACATTTGACTGACTATGCTATGATGTGAAAGGATAATCTTTCCTGACCATTTCCTGATCTGTGGCATCAGCGGAGTTCAAATTTCATGGGCATTTGTCAATTTTAATGAGTGTTTTTCTTCTTTGACCCTTTAACTTTCAAGAGCTCTGTTTTGATTCAGATTGCCATACTTTTCAATATCGAAACAATAACCCGAACCTTCAAGATAATTCTCTTCAAATGTTCTCATGTGTTCCAATCATCTATTTATGAATTAATGTACTAAGTCAGATAATCCCATAGAAACTACATAATACTCACTTTATCCTAAAGAGCTGATTTTTATGGTATAAGAGAGAAGTAATTTTGAAATCTTTTTACCTACCAAGTACCACTGTAATGGCCACTTTGGATCATTAAAATTTAGTCCATCATGAGGGGAGTAGTAGAGTTCATATTTACTGAACACTTGCTGCTCTGCCCAAATTACCTAACAAGACACACAAATGTTAATAAAAAAAATTACCCTTGTTTGCTTTTAATCCATTACCCTTTTCAAATCTCTTTTACCCATCAAGGTATCACTGTATTCCAAGGTAAGCATTTCAACAACTAAACTAAGGAAAAGGGACTCATTGAATGTTTCAAAGGACACTGTAAGTTTTCAAGGTGTCCAATAACTAGTTAATGATTGTGCCAATAACAAAATGCTTGCATATGACTGGTTCTTAACAGCGTACCGGCCAGATCAGACAGTTAAGGCAGCCAATAAAAATTAGGAAACTTAAGCCATCAGCCATAAACATCAAATATATTCTAGCCAATGCTAGCTAATCAATACAACTAGAACATTTTAAAAATTGTAAGTGGGGAGGTTTAGAAACTTCCACACTGAAAAAAAAAATTAAAAAATAAAATGGTCCAATTGCTATAATTATGCAAATATGTTTTTTTATTTTGATAAGCATATCCTGAATTTCATGTATTTTGTTCTTAACACAATTAATATGTGACTCTGCTAATGCTGGCATCCAAAATGATAGTTTGGGACTGGCCAACCCAATCTCGGGTCCCTCAGGGTCCAAGTTGTTGGTGCATTCTCTATCATTGCTGTTGCAGGGTGAGATGTATAGTCAGAAAAAGTAGTCAGATTTTCTTTCAAAATTTTATGTTTGCAAGCCTTTTCCTTTCCCTGATGAGCCAAGGAGGCCATTGCTCTGTGTGCAGGGAAAAGTAAATGTAGATATTCTGAAAGGAATGAGACTTCAAGGAAAACCTTTTAATTACAATTTGCAGTGAAACAAAAATACTCGTTATAAGTTTGTGAAGAAGTCCATAACAAGTTAATAAATGTTTCCTCACACCTTCCATTCCTTTCTTATCAAGGTAGACCTTTGGAGCTCAAAAGAAGAGTAAATATGCCAACTAACAGTTGATTAAGAAAATAATGGAAACAATGAGACTTCGATTCTCAAAAACAATTACAGGCTATGGCGAAGTGGCCATAATGACAACCCATACTTCTCAAAAACGGAAAAATGCATTGTAGGACCAAATCTTTAAAGTACAAATAGTTTCAGTTAATCAGGCACCCCAAACAGTCCAATCTATATCACAGGAAGTTTGGCAGATGAGATGGTTGTTGAAAATGTGAATGGGTATAAAGATATAGAAACATACCATTCTGACCTTATTCCAGTGCTGATTCAACTCTGCCTGTGCTTTGACTTCCAAACAAGTGGTGAATGCTGTGGTTGACTACTTTATCAAAAGCACTAAACAAGGCATGGTTGAAGGTGTGAAAGAGTGTGTAGACACAAACAGTGCACAAAGAGCTCATTGAAACTACTCTCATGCCATGTCAGTAAAAAGAGCAAGCTTGTAACACAAGACACCCCTGGACCACACCTGTTGCAAGAAAAAATTGATGCAACCCGAGCCCAACATCATACCCACCACTAATAAGGATGAATATTTACCAGAATCCAATTCATCTGATGTTGAAATGGAATGGTGATTTTGATGACAGAGCAACTGATTATGATTTGGATACATCCAGTGAGGGGTGGATATTTGATGATGAGGTGGAATCATCGACGAAGATCCAGTTTTCCATGAAAAATCTGAAACAAACTGGCTCCAGGAAAGCTAAGAGTTTTATAAAGAGAGAAAATCCATTGTTTTTTATAGCCACCTGAAGCATTGCTTTCAAAGATGCCAGAAGTGTGCCAGTGTGAAATTAGCATCCTTGAAAAAGCAAGGGAGCCCTATTTTAAGGGGAACAGCTACAAGAAATCTTGTTTTCAGAGGTACAGGTGTCAGAGGTGGCCAATTCCAACTGTATGGAGAAGGACTGAAACAGTGCTCGCAGAATTTGGTGACAGATGGCCAATTTTTAAAGAACTGATATCTTAGCAACAAACAGGTCAGATGGAAATACTTTTATAGTCAGGTACATTGCATGTGTGTGAGTTAATTAACCCACATACTGTTAAAATCCAAGCCTTCCAGTCTTAACTATGAATATGATTGTATAAACCCTACATGACCTTCTCCATGAAGTAGCGATTACATCCTCCTGTGGGCATCAAGTTTGTGTGTGTCAGGTGGCTTGGAGCCACACTCAACTTAGTTACTCAAGAGCTCCAGTTAACAGCAGATCACTATACCAGGAATTTTTTTTCTTTCAAAAATAGGCACAAACAAAAACAAACATAAACAAACATAAACAAACATACTAACTTTATTCAAGATGTAACCAAGCTTATATACAGGGAAAACATAGTGTTAACAAAAAACATCTTGGTTAGCCCTATATTAAAACTCCCAAACAGAAAATAGAAAATGCTAAATAAAAACATGAAACAATTCCATCATTCAAAAATCTAGACATTAATTAAAGCATGGTTCTAGTTTCAAATTTATTATAAGTAGATAATGATGAAGCTTATGTTAAAAATGATGAAGGCTTTCAGCCTGTACTAATTGTCTCTTGGAAGATCATTCCATATTGGGACTATTCTGACTAATAAAAAAGAATACTTATAACAATTGAGTCTTGCGCTTTTAACATACAATTCAAAGGGGTGATTTGCTCTTGTGCACCCAACTTTTGAGAATTCTAAGAAATCATAAAAATTCAAATGATAATAACCAAAGACGAACTTGTGGCACTCAATTAAAGATAAGTAAATTCTACGATCAGATAACGACAGCCATTTCAACAATTTAAAACAGTCAAAATAAGGCATTTCTCCTTTGCATTGGTTAAGTGCTAATCTAGATGCCCTTCGTTGTATACTCTCCAAGGCGCAAATGTCCTTGAGGAGGAAAGGGCACCAGACGGGTACAGCATATTCAAGAATTGGTTGAACCAGAGATAGAGCATTGAGAAAACATTTACATTGGTGGTGCCAACAGAACGTTTGATTTAACCTTACTAATAGGTTGTTAGCTTTGTTCACAGCTATGCTGATATGGTTAGCCCATGTGAGATCTTTCGATATTGTGATGCCTAGGTCTTTGAAGCTCTTCTTGTCTTTCAAAGTTTTATGTAACATATATTGCGTAATAGACTTGTCCCATGTATGGGTTATACGCATGGATTCACACTTGTCCGCATTGAATCGTAACTGCTAGTTGCATGCCCATTCCATTAGGTTAGAGAGATCTATTTGTAAAAGCTGAGGATCCTTAATAGGGTCGACTATTTGACGATGGATCTTTGTGTTGTCAGCGTAAAGTTTCACATTTGACGAAACACAGTTGGTTATATCTCTCAGAATGCAAGGGGCAATATTGTCAGGCCCAGGGGAATTGTTAGGCTTGAGTTTCAAAAGGAGGCATCTCACTTCATTAACACTACAATAGATATTTTCGAGTCTCAACAGCAATGCAATCTGTGGTAGGAAAATTACCATTATGATAATCTTTGACGGTAAACACAGAGGAGAAGTAGGAGTTCATCCACTGAGCAATACAGAGGTTATCTGTCACAAACAGCATTGTCGATTTTCAATGAAACAAGATTGTTAGTGCCTCTTCTCTTGGACTTAATAAAATTCCAAAAAGGTTTTCGGTTTTCAATTTCTTTCAGATTAGAGGCTAGTTTGTTAATGTATGCCCATCAAGCTGTGTTGCAGAGACTCTTCACAGAATTGTTCAGTTGTTGATATTTTTCCCAATATATTAATAGTTGCTTTGTTACTTCTGCGAGCACATTTGTACAAAGATCTTTTCTTTTTGCACAAGGCAATAAGTTCCTTGGTGATCCAGGGAGCACTGGGTTTCCTGTTGCCCTTAAATTTAGGACTGCATTCATCTACTGCAGTGAATAGTAGGTCTTTCCAGCAAGCCCAATTCTGATAAATGTTATCATCGAAGAAAACGCAGTCCCAGGGATTATAGGATAATAATTAGGATTGCAATGGTCCCAATCAGCTTTGCCATAGCAATAGAACAGTCTCTGCAATTCCTGTTGAACATAAGGTTTACCAGAGAGTGAGAATATGATAGAAGTGTGGTCAGAAAAAGGTTCTCAAATGGATAAGTCAGTTATAGAATCAGGTGAGGTTGTAAGGACTAAGTTGAGATTACTGCAATGAAGTGGAAAGAAATGCCCCAAATAAAGCATGGCTTTGATCCTTGGCATTAAGCAAAGTCAGTGAGGAATTTGGTAGCTGCTTTAAAGAAGAAAGAATAGGCAGACCTCTTGCTTTGGATTTCCTTAGTCATTAGTTACCTATGGTGGAGTGCTGCCATGCACAATGGGGACTCAAAACTCTGTTGAGAGAAGTTGAAATCTATTATTTACCATGTGGTTGGTATTCATGTGTGGCCTGAGTTTGAGTTATTTTCAGCAAGCAAGCATGAAGGTCTAAACAAAGAACAGAGACAAAATGAGGTGTGGGTAAAATTTGGGTCTCCTGTGCACAGTGCTGTCAGCAAGGTAGAGTGAAAACCAAAGCTTTTGAAGGATATGCTCCTCCTTGCTGATTTCGTCCAAACTGGGGGTTTGGAGGTTTTCCATGGTACTATGATGAGGTATCTTCCGAATTCCCACTACTATTTCTACAATAGAATGAAATACCAAGTACAATTATCACAAAAACATTTGGTGGCTCTTAAGTAGGCCAAAACTTTGCCATTATAGAATTAGTCAGTAGTTTAAGTATGTTATTCAACCACTCTTGCAAATGCATTAAATGTAAGTAGCCTTACTGAAAAGGCTTTAAGCATAAATAAAATTACATATTTTTACTTTAGATAAGAGAAAATATGATGGATCTGCTTTCATGTTTTAGCAGAAATGTTCAAGGGGTATCTGGTCAAGTTGTCACCACAACAAAAGCTACCACAAAACTCACCACCACTCGAAGTCAAATTGCCACCACTGGTAATTTGACTTAAATATTACGTGTAGTTGAAGTCCCCAAGGATTAAGGAATGGCTCTTGAGGAGATGTTCAGTTTTTGAGATGAGATGTAAATT